TAAGAAATGTGCAAGGAATTACTGCATCCACACATACGTACGTTTTATGTCTTTCGAAGTATTATCTGGATAGTTGTGATCTAGCCATCAATTAACAGAATTTGTGTCAAGAATTCAGTTTATCGTTAAATGTTCTGTAAATGTTGACTCATATATATTTTGAAATCCTTCATAGAATCAAACTAATCTATCAATATTAACGGTGAAAATTCATTTAATTTTACTCTACTACAAATTACCTTAAATTAATGAGAAAAAGCTGTTAATGCTGTCACACCCTCGCCGGGAATCGAACCCAGAACCTACGAGAGGTGGCAACAGCGATTCGTCGAACTATTATTTTGAACCGCATCAAATAACCTCAAATTAATAGGGTTTGGTCTCGGGTTCAATTCCAGGCGAGAGTGTGACAGCAAAAACAATTTTTCTCCATTAATTTGAGGTAATTTGTAGTGAATATTAAATGTATTTCCACTTTTATATTATATATTTATTAACCACTACTCTTAAAGTAATCTACCAATGCTTGATACAAATAATTTTTCAATTGGGGACTTTAATAGAAAACAATTAGCTGAGTTGAAAGCAGCGCTCCAACCCCTCTAAATTTGTAGCTTTATAATCCCATTTGGTGTAGAGGGAATGATACGAATTTCCGAAAGAGAGCCCATGTTTGTGTCATGTGGCTTTGTTCAATAATCCATATAAAGAATTTTGCACAAGTATATCAGGAGTGATGTTTGTAGATAAAATAAATTATTTTGTTAATAAATTTATGTCATTAAATCTCAAAAATATCAACTGACGATATGGAGTCAGTTTTTTCTTTTCAACTAATTCGTACCATATACGAATCTGACATGCTAATATCTGCTAATTGAAAGAAGAACGCCAGGTGCGCCATCGCCATGATAATCGATACTAACCGATACATAATCGGTATAGGTATGTGTACAAAAGCACACCTACCTACCCATAAGAACACCTACCAAATATTACAGTCCATCAGGTCAAGGTTGGCCAGTTAGGTATTATGTACTACAGTCAGTGGGAGCTGTCTCACACTTGGCTCCATGGATAAGAATGACTATAATTACTGAATTGGAAGAAAGAGGTTACTATGGGTCAGTTAAGTTAAAATCTGCATATACAGGGTACATGCCCATATTACTTTGATCATAGTAAGTACCAAAATAACCATTAGGTAAATGTGTAGAGTTCTGGAGCTGAAGCATTTTATGATTATCCACTGCTCCACTGCGACGATGGTGTATAGGCGCAAAATGAAGAAGGGCATTACATTCGACGATCTTTTACCGAAAAATAATAGCTAATTTTCCCAGAATTCCTCAAACATGCTTTCGACGATCTTTCACCGAAAAATAATAGCTAATTTTCCCAGAATTCCTCAAACATGCTTTCGACGATCTTTCACCGAAAAATAATAGCTAATTTTCCCAGAATTCCTCAAACATGCTTTCGACGATCTTTTACCGAAAAATAATAGCTAATTTTCCCAGAATTCCTCAAACATGCTGTACCACTAATAGTAACTGAACGCTGTTTATTCAATTTAATTCCAAAAAAACCTTTTAAAGGGGTATCTGCTAAACAATGTGAGCTACTATAACCAATACACCCAACCACTGCAGAAGTTCCAGCATCTTCTTAGACCTACTTCTTCTTTCTGTTTTACAACTTCATTACCAACCACTCTAACATCATTATTAAAATAAAATATTCTTCCAAGGTAATTGCCCCTAAACGGATCGTTAGTTTATTCGTTGTTAGGTGAACAATATCAGACATGAGAAACGGTTTAAAGTGTAGATATGCAGGTATGTAGTTTAAACGCATGCATCAACTAAAGAGTACAATCACCATCGCCGTCGTCATCGCGGTCTGCGACCATAGTTTGTTGGCTCGCTCTCACTTACGTAATTCGTCGTCGTTGTTTGAGCTCACGCGCGCTCAAAAAAACAAATCTCGTTCACTTGTACGGTAGTGCACAAGTAGGAATGTAAACCGCTGGGGTTGTTGCGAAACCAGTTAGCCGGTGGCAGTGGCGGTGTCGGTGTCTTCGTTTTGCTACTTGCTGCGTTTGACTTGTTCGGGCGACACGACACAATTCCTTTCCCGAAGACTTGAGAACAGCAAGCAGAGCAACAACCAACGACGACAAACAAATAGAAGGAAACCGACGCGACGCGACGACCGGAGCGAAGCCGAGGAGGTCGCATTCAGCAGCCTCGAAACGCATTCGACTATATTATCCACTTTTATACACCATCAACTGACCGTTTCCAAGTAATCCACGCACACATGTCATCTGTACTAGAGAACAAAATGAAAAATCAGTCACAATTACTCTATCCAAGTATTGCCATAACACTTCAGCCCCTTCCCAAGAAAAAATGTGTCAAACTGAAAAGACACCACAGTATATGAACCAGAAACATTCCAAAATTCACTAACACTTCAGTCCCTTCCCGAGAAGAAATGTGTCAAACTGAAAAGACACCATAATAGGTACATGATCCAGACACATTCCAAAATTCTACTAACGAAATCTTCACTGGAGATGCAGGAAGTCTAAGTGGCTAGAACGAGTTTCATGGTACTTGGATTATCAATCACAATTACTCTCCCTAAGTGTTGTCAAAACCCCTCAGTCCCTTCGCTAGAAAAAAATGTGTCAAACTGAAAAGACACCACAATACATGAACCAGAAACTTTCCAAAATTCACTAACACTTCAGTACCTTCCCGAGAAGAAATGTTTCAAACTGAAAAGACACCACAATAGGTACATGATCCAGACACATTCCAAAATTCTACTAACGAAATCTTCACTGGAGATGCAGGAACTCTAAGTGGTTAGAACGAGTTTCATGGTACTTGGATTATCAATCACAATTACTCTCCCTAAGTGTTGTCAAAACCCCTCGGTCCCTTCGCTAGAAAAAAATGTGTCAAATTGAAAAGACACTACCACATTATCCAAAACTCTATCAACAAAATCCTCACTGGAGATGCTGGAAGCTTAAAGAGGTAGCAATAAGACAACCCGTGTTGGACGACGTGCCTAAAGCATCATCATTATCAGTCACTCTACCGAAGTGTTGCCATAACACCTCAGTCTTTTGCTTAGAAAAAAATGTGTCAAATTGAAATGGCACCACAATATATCCATAAAATTTTCAAAATTCTGCTAATAAAATCTTCACTGGGGATGCCGGAAGCCTAGGGAAGTGTTGTATAAAGCGACCTTCATGGTATTTCCAATCTTAAACGCCAGAAGAAGATTATGAGAAAATCACTAGTAAATCTTGTCGATGCAATGCAATATCTACTAACGGGTGAATCCACGACTAGAAAGATTGAACGAAAGCAGCCAATCCGTTGCTAACTCTGAAGACTGAAGTGTCTCATAATAAATTTTAAGAATTATTATCCACAGACGTTTTGGTCACCCGTACGGTGACCCTATGACTTCCTGAGATTACAACAATTCGATATTGACAGGAAGGAGTAAAGATGAGTTTCCATGCAATTTTCTGACTGACGACCTCATGATGATGAAGTCAGAAAAGATTTTATTTAGCGATTATTGAAGATACTTCAAATATATCTACAGATAACCCAAAAATATTCGAAGAATCCCATACAATAGAAAAAGAAAGCAACGCATCCTTCATTTTGGATTATATCAGGACGATTTTTATAAGAGTTATTGGAGGAGAAGTTTCATTTTAGTTTCTTCCACAGTACAAAAGCATTCATTTGTAACACTGGTGCTCGGTGCTCTCCTCTTGAATTATACAAATGAACAGCGTAAATCACGACGATACTGTTGTTGCTCTCTTTCTTGTTCATTTATTTAATCTTTATGTGCGTATGCGTGTACATGTATGCTTGTGCCTAAGTCTCTAAGTAGAGCCAAGAAAGACGAAGGCGGACCCGTTATTACTTCCTATGCTTCTTAGCACTTGTTAAACGAATAGGTACGTTGCCACATCATAATACTAAATGAATAAATATAAAATAGCCTGCATTGTTGGAATTGAAAAGCGAAGCGCGACATCGCATCAACACCACTTTATATGCGCATTACATGACTGTATATAAATAAATAAATAAATATACAGTTACAGACAATCGATCGTTAACAGGATGCTAATAATGCTTTCAAATGCCAATAAATCCAATCGGCGAAGGATCTGCTATTATCAGTATATCGCATTAACAGTTCCAAAATCAATAAATAACATAATACTACAAACAGTATATCGCCATCTAGATATTTTCGGTAAAGGTCTAGGTCTTCGGGGGTGGGGGTGGGTGGGATCGAAAGAGGAGGTCTCCCCTACCACTGTACCATAAAAAGTTCGTGGCGGTCTCACCCCCATAAAAAGTTATGGTGGTTGAAAGTTGATTATTTTGACAATTTTCATACACTATAATTCAAATAAAATTCAATAAAATAGTTTACTTCAGTCCCTGAAGAAGGTAACTTTGTTACAGAAAAGTGCTTCGGACAACTACAGTGTCGTGTTTTGGCGTTGGGGTTTTGAGCTATTCTGTTTGTTCTACAACAACCGCCAAAGNTTTATGTATTTTTCATTAGTTTTACCTTTGAATATTGTTTAAGAATGACTATATAAATATTTACATGCCTAGAAATGTATAAAAATTGGCATATTTATTAACTTTGAACCTCCATAACTTTTTATGGCGGTGAGACCGCCACGAACTTTTTATGGTACAGTGGTGGGGGAGACCTCCTCTTTCTATCCCCCCACCCCCACTCACTTCGGGGTTGGGTGCCATCATCTAGACCTTTACCGTATTTTCTGCCAACAGTGTAATATTTCAAATTTACTGATTAATATGTTAGATAACATCACGTTGGAGCGCAATTTAAATAAAAGAAATTACTCCAATTGTACATTCGATGACAAAAACGTCTGTAGTACCTAGAAGACAATTGAAATCACTTACCCTTACAGACGCAGATTCAATGCACAAAAGTGTAAAGTCTAGAAGGATACCAGATCTTGACATTGGAAGGATTACTGTCATCATCTGTAATAAAAATAAATACAGATAGGAAACAGTCAGAAAGGTAATATAGTAAAGAAAATTGTCGTCACATTTACTTATAATCTATCACGGTTAATACTCGATTAAACAAGTTGAGTTTATTGAATTATGGGCTGATTTTCTGTGGTCCATGGAGATCTTCTACACAAATTGTTTTGCTCCTTCAGTCAATCAAACACAATCGCCACTGAGGATGTTGCCACAGGTGAGCAGCATCAGACTTGACATTGGTACTCAGCTTTCTACTCACAGCTTAGCCCTTATAAATTACAGGTACAATAGATACAAAACATTGTAGATACACTACTTACAATTGGTGTAAATGTGATGAGTACACGTTACATATATTATTATGAAAATGCAGCCCGATCTAATTTTATTTGGAGCGTCGAATAAATATTTAGTCAAATTCAAGCAGACAGACGTAAACTTGTTTAATGGGTTAGTTTGATTTTACATCCGCTTTTACGTTTTAAAACAAGTAACGATTCCACATCTGGCGATGAGAGCCCATTTTTAACCGCACATTGTAACAATCTGAAGCCATCGGCAACTTTAAGTGCAACAACAAATGTTATTCAATATATTTGGCACCATTTACGAAATCGAAAAATACAAATAAGACATAGCATGACCTTTTACTTTTAATAAATACCAATGTGCTAAATTGTACGTATTGTAGAAATCTACGAGTGGATTTGCTAAAGAATGCTGAAGTTAAACTTTCCAAGGTTAAATTTCAGACCAGGGACATCTCCAAATCAAAGGGTATTTTATTCCCACCAGCTGTTGGTGGCGAGTGATGGCTGTCCCATTGGCCTACACTGTGGTGCAAAGCGGTAACACGGTAACACCTTCATTAGCTTCTTTCAAGGAACATGCGAATGGGTTGTAGTGTCAAGAGAGAAAAGAATGAGATAGACAAGACGAAGTTAGAATAAGGGTGAAGGATTGTTTGTGGGATATTCCTATTTCAGTACGTTCCTACAGGATCTAATGAAACCTCAGGAAACCCTGAACCACAGAAGATATGCCCAGAATAGTGTATTAAGCTAAAATTCAGACCTAAAGGACATGGTTGGCACCACTGCTAATAATATCCATATTAGTTTGACCTTACCAACATAAAATAATTTTGTGAACAATTTAGTAAATGTCCCAAAACTGGAACGACATGGATACGCTTTTTAGAATCCTTTAATAATCAAATCAAATTTTGGTACCAACTAGGTGTTACTGTTACAGCCCTTAAGCACCTGTTTCAGCAAATTTTGGTATATGTATTCCAAGGCTAAGTTTTGGCCTAACACTAGCATCTAGCCGAATGGGTATATTCAACACCAACACGATGAAATTAACATCTAAGTACTTTATCTTTGTGTCCAAAATGAAGTAAGTTTTAATGCTACAGACGCAGGAAGTCAAGGAGGTAACGATAAGACAACCCGTGGCTAGAACAAGTTTCATAGTACTTGCATTATCAGTCGCAATTACTCTATCCCAGTATTACCATAACGCATTAGTCCCTTCTCTTGAAAAGATGTGTCAAACGGAAAAGACCCCACAATATGTATATGATCCAGAAACTTTCTAAAATTCTACTAACGAAATCCTCACTGGAGATACAAGAAGTCTAAGGGTGTAACAATAAGACAACTCGTATTGGATGTAGTGACTAGAATTAGTTTCATGATACTTGCGTTATCAATCACAATTTCTCTATCCAAGTATTGCCATAACACAGTCCCTTCCCAAGAAAAAATGTGTCGAACTGAAAAGACCCCACAATATGTATATGATCCAGAAACTCTCCAAAATTTTACTAACGAAATCCTCACTGGAGATGCAGGAAGTCTAAAGAGGTAACAATAAGACAATCCATGTTGGATGAAGTGACTAGAACAAGTTTCAAAGTACTTGCTTTATCAGTCACAATTACTCTCCCTAAGTTGTCATAATACCTCGGTCCCTTCGCTAAAACAAAATGTGTCAAATTGAAAAGACACTCCAATATGATCCAAAATTCTATCAACAAAAACCTCACTGGAGATGCTGGAAGTCTAAGGAGGTAGCAATAAGATATATAATTAATACATTAATAAGAATACAGCCCTTAAGTTTCCGTTTATTTAGCCATTATAATACCACGCAGTACTACAAAAATGCAAAAATAAAATTAAAATTGCCTTCTAAGTACGCAGAAAATTGTAGGTTTTACATAATAGGGAACGTAATGAACGTACATGCATACATAAACTTGTAAAATTGCTGACCTTGCACAATAAATTCAGACATAAATTAGTCTCGAAAAAACATGTTATTTGCCTGATTTTAAAGTAAAATGATAGTGAATACTTGTTAATGGAGAAGTTACCAGCTGACCTTGAAATTGAACAAGCAGCAGAAACAGATAATTTTACTCACATATGAGCGCATTTTTTATATTAAAACTGTTACTATGTGTCAAAAGGTATACATAAATGTAACCACAATGACAAAGAATACCCATTAATTACCAATTACAATATATTAGATATGTCCTTATAATATTATTTTTTATTGAACAATTAAATTTTCATTAGTATTAATTTTGTCAGCTTTATTTACTTTTTGTTTTAAATAAATAGTGACCCCCGATAGCCTTCACTGCTAATTGCATTATTAATTTTACACCACAAAGCGAATGTCAAGTCTGATGTGATGACTTTTCGTCATCTTACAATCCAGCACGTATTAATTAAGAACGTTCTCATCACCTCAAAAAACTTTATTGCATTAAAAGATATACGAATTACATTACAAAACCTAATTGAGTTATCATGTCTTAATGCAAACGCTTGCAAAGACATGTCATCATCACGATGAAAATACTATTTAAAGTTTATTTGACCAATATTACTTTTTAAACAAAACGCCTTAAGTGATAATATCAGAATAAAACAAAGAGGGGCTGTATTAAGGAGAGATTATTATATAAAATACATAGTAAATCTTCGGGTGGGTAGTTAACAAATTCTAAAAATAATGTTAAAAATTTTTGCTTGGAGCAAGAAGATGTGGTCTCATAGGAGAATGGTGAGATATTGGAAATACTCTGTGAAAACTGGATATCACTAAGATAAGGAGAAGATAGAATGAAGAGACAAAAAGGGCTGATGGTTAGAGGCATATTAATACCAGAAACAGGAGTGAACAGGGGTAGATTATACATTAGAAACGATTCACAAATAATGAAGAATGTGAGATGTTTAACTTTTTAGGAAATATGAAGATTCAAGAAGAAAAATAGTACAAATACGTGTTTAGCCAATCTTTCCCGTAGGAAAAATTTCCATTGAAGTTCAATGGGAATCAATGGAAAATTTGTAAATTCCATTCAAAACCATTTGGCATAAATGGAAAAATAATTGTTTCAATTTACAATATAATTCCTGGCCACATATACTATTAGCCTTTTTCGATACAGTTTTTGCTTGCTCAGGTGTAAGAGTAGTGATATTGCCAATTAGGTGGTGGAAAATCAATAATCTAGTTTTACCTATGCGTGCATGTTGGGGGTACGTGAGGGACCACCACGGCAGTAGAGTGAGAGATAAGCAAGGTGGTAAGACGTCTGATTAAAACGGTATATTTCATTTAGACGTTGAGCATTTTTGCTCAAAAAAGACGGAAGACGTATTTATGGTGATTACACGAAGACGTATGTATTTTGGAAGATGCGATACATTGAATATTGTATATAAGTTGTATATATTTAGTTCCTGTTTGTTACTCGTTTTGTTGTTTGCTGTTTATATTCATTATTATGTTTATTATATATGTATTTAACTACCCGGAGCCTTTTATTAAACAACCCCTAGACAAGTGAAAAAGCCTACATTAGAAGCATTGTTTGATGATTTTGAACCATGCCAGAATATAGAGGAGGCCGAAGTCATCTGTGAGAGTGATGTAGTTTTATCAGAAGCAAGTGAAAAAAATCTAAACACAATGATGAAGAGCCAGACATCCAAGCACGTGCCTTGGTTCAGGTACCTGAAGAACCAAATTCTCAACAAAACATTATGGATTATGGAAAAAAGCATACTGATGAAGTTCCAATGGAACGCAATGGGATTTCCATTGCTTAACGCAATGGAAATTCCATTGAGTTCAGCATCCCATTGAGTTCGGGAATGGGAATCCCATTGGCAATTCTCCATTTATTACCATCAATCAGTGGTAATTTAATGGCATTTTTTTAATGGAAATTGGACCTGCGACATTGTGGATGATAATGATAAGATTTTTTGGTTAATAAATCGAAAACTTCGCCTTCATGTTTCAAGTATTTCGAGTGCAATTTGTATTACGATTATTTTATACCAAATTAATTGAATATACTGGGCATTTATATTAGGAAAACAGCCTTTTTATCTTTCCACTTTAGACAGTGGGTGGTAAGTGGTAAAATTATTTCCGCTACACCTGTAATTACCAAATTAATGATCCTTATATCCAGTAATTATTTATTAAACCAGCCCATAAGATTCGAATGGCTATTGTAACAATTACGTTGAACTTTAATGTCCTCCGGAGCAGTCATTCTTTTGATGTTCGTACGTATGAGTGGTGTGTACTTATTTATTTTTAAGATCAAACGGAGGCTCAACCTCGGATCTAATGGGAATAATAACCGTGAATATTCCTCCTACAAGCCACTTATATTTTAAAGAAGTAAAACCCACAAAACAACTTTGCATACAGTGATGACATCTAAGAATCATATTATGTAGAAAGTTTCTGTCTTTAAAACGACCAGGTCAATAGCCGAATAATTTTTCTTTCGATGTAGTATGTAGGTATAACATTTCAACACATTAGTTTAGTTTACAATCGCTACTATCGATTAAAAACAAAACTAAATTTTCAATGCGAAGTCAAAATAATTTTGTCTCTCTAGAAAGCGTTACTTTCCGACAACAAATAACGCCTAATAATTG